AGAAATGCTTGAAACTTCAATATTTCGAAATTGAAGGACGCTAATTTACTCAAAATTGATACACCCCGGCTTACCATCTAGCGGAAGGTTTCGGAAAGGTGAAAAAACATATATTTAATACTTGCGCCGGGTATTTAATGTTCGGCTCCGCCCGAACTTAGACTTTCTTACTTGTTGTTTGTAGATTTTTTTTTTTTGAGAGAAAAATACATACCTCTTAAATAACATTAAATTATTATTTTTTTCCTTAAAAGTGATATCTGAATACGATTTTGAAATGTTGGCCGTAGTTGGCCGTGTTTAGACTATCAAAAACATGTAAAATGAAGAGCGCTGGGTTTCACCTGTCAATTTCGTGTTGCGATTTTTTGCGTTTTCTGAGAAATAGTGGTTTTTGTAGGTATTTTTATACTGTCAATAGTGAATTTGCAAGGCAAGAGAGGAAAGAGAAGACTGTTTGCCATTTTGTTTCTGCAAAGGCTGCTTCTTTTAACTTTTCAGCCGACAAATTAGGAAATTCATAGTATTCAAGTTTAATTAACCCTTTCCAGTCAAATCCGTCCCTGATGAATATAAAAAATTTTCCTCTAAATTACAAGGTTCATAGAGCCTCATAAAGCATTAAAAAATTTTAAATTTTCTGAAACATTTCAGATACAATTACATTTATAAAATTCGAATGATCCGTTTTAATAAACCTTACCGGTTTTTCTGCTTTCAGTAGATCAAGAAATCAAAAACCTACCCTTTACTGCAACAACAGCGCACAAGCTTTCCAAAAACCACCCTAATTGCCTGTTCAACTGCACCTTTGCGGACATTTGTATAAAATATTGTACAAGATACTTACAACCTTTCAGTGTAAATGTACAATATATTGTACATTTTTTTTGGCCACCCGGAAAAAATATTTTAAATCATGATAGTTTAATTTGTATATGATGCTTTTTATATTTCCATACTATGTGCTTTTATTAGCGATTTTACTTGACCTTCACGTATTTTTTGTACAGTAAAGTACCACAACTTGTGTGTCCACGGAATTTTATAAAATGGTCTATTTTTAAATTAAATTCTAAAAATATTTTTGAAACGTTTTCGACTTTGAAATTTACGTAAACTATTCGGGCCATTCCAAAACTTCATAAAGTTTAATTTGTTTTCGAAAATATTAATAAGATTTTTAGTAGCACGCTTCCAATGTTACAAAAAATTAAATGTACAATATATTGTACAAATGCAGGGAAAGGGTTAATATAATTTGGCAATACTTTTTAAAAGTATGTACGGCATTTTTTCTTAAATATAAATATTTAGAAAAAAACTGCATTAAAATTTTTGCAATAAAACCGCAAATTAAAAAGTGGCCGATTTGGACCCATCGGTCGTCAAGGGTTAATAAGGTTCTTTCTTTTTTGTGAAAAAATGTGGCAAATCAGGATGCCACTAAATACAAAAATTATGTTGTTTCAAATAATCAACTTGTTTTGGCCACAAAAATGTGTCAAATTGCCCACGGTGCAATTCTATACCAGAACGCAGTCTCTTAAAAAAAAATCTATAAAATATTAATTTCAATGATTTTTGCTGTAGTATCTGAATCCTTAACTGCCGTTTTCACCTTGAATTCAAGTGAAAAATGTCTTGTTCTCTTCTGCCAGTTTTGATATTAAATTATAATACAAAAATAATTTTGGACTTACGCAAATAAAAACAAGCCAGACAGCCACATGCGCCCGGGAAATTCAAAATAAGTTTATACGGGTCTATGCACTGATACTTGGAGGTGGCTATCTCCACGGTAACCCAGCTGGTGCCCTGAGAGGCTTAGTCGTCGTCCATATCTAACATGCCGCAAGCCTTGGGCTCCAGCTGAGCCGTCAAAGCCGGTGGAGATTCTCGTTCACATCTTGACTTGAAATTAGGTAATTGAAACTATATCACAATGTCACAAAAAATATGTAGGTTTAAGAAGGTTGTAGTTTGGAAATATTTTGAAAAGGGTTCCCACCTGTCCAATTTAATTAAATTAAACAAAAATATGCATAATATATATATAATATTGAATATTTGAATTTTTTTTTACTATAATTATTTAATAAATAATAAATATGGGTATCTGCAAAAATTAGTTTCAAAAGGCCTCATTTCTAAATTACAAGTATGAGGGTTGCCACTCAAAATAACCCAATTTAAAGTTAAATTATGTGAATAAGATAACATGCTTCACAATAAAAAAATAATAATAAAAACGTCTGCTATGATTTTGGCTAAATTTAAGTATGTAGATCTTTGATGAAATAAATTACGCATAACGTTACACGCAGGAATTTCACACACTCTGCGAAGCAGACATTTTGTTTGCGACAATTTTGTTTAATAATTTCTACATTTTAGCTAAACTTTCCATGAAAATTCTACACTACCTCAACTTAAAAATTTAGTGTTCCGGAACTTTTTTGTTGGAAATAAATGTAAATTCAACTCTGAAGAAACCCCATCATTGACCATGATTATACCATAAACTGCCTTTGAGCTATAGAATTTTGATTAAAAAAGTCAAAGTTTACGTGTATTTTATACGGGAAATCTTTGCACGCCTTGGTTGGGCTCAAATTTTCAGGGAATTTTTGTTTAGGTATTTCCCACAAAATTTCGTGATGGGAGTAAAAAAGAATAGTCGCCAAAAAAGCACCCTAATATACATATGTATGTACATATACACTAGGGTGGGCCATTTTTTTCACTATGGGCGTATAGAATAGGCGGATTCTACATGTAATTCTATGCAAGTTTGTCGAATAAGCCTTGGGTCTAAAATCAATTTGCAGTTTGCAAATTGCGAAAAAAAAGACTTCGAAGAATATGTGAAAATTTTCACTGTAGAG